GGTGTTCTCCTTTGTCTCTTCCTTTATCCCGTAAATTTTAATATTGTTCTTACGAGAATACTGTTCGTTGTAGTTTGATCGTTTGTCCGCCTCAGGACTCAGTTTTGTGAGATCTTTTATCTCCTCTTTCAATTTAAGTAAATCTTTGTCTTTTCTTGCAATGTTTTCTGTAAGATTTTTATTTTCAAATTCCAGGAAGTCTAATTTCTCTCGCATATTGTTGATTTGTGAATCCATTTCTTTTTTCATTTCTTTTAACATTTCTGTAACTAAGGTGGTTACTAGTTCTTTCAGTTCGTCTTTGTTTATCATGTCTTTCATATAAGATTTTATTTCTTCTAGTTCCGCTAAGATAATGCTGTTATTTTCTTCAGCACTTGTATTGGAGACTTCGCTGTGCGTACGTTTGGGTGTAGGCTCACCCTTCTTAGTGTTTTTTGTGTGTTTGGATGACATGCTGAAAGGTTGACAGCACTGCGTGAAATTTAATGTAGTCAGTATGTATCATCCACTATGCGACGTTCGCGCAGACTATGCCTATGTGATAAGGTTAAAAAATATCAGTTATTCACCTTATTTGTACTTTCTCCACCCGATCAGCTCGTTCACGGATGGGCACTTGTTCAGAATGTATCACATCAGACGTTGGGTTCACTTGTCTATGTCAAGAAAGACCAATTTATGTCCCGTGTCCTAGAGTTCGTGTCAACCTCTACGCCATCTTGTCTCCCCGACCGATATCTCATACCTTGAAGCATGGTCAGTAAAATGGAAACTATTTTTTAAACCAAATAAAGTGCAACGAAGTGATTTTTACTACGAAAAAAAAAAGAAAATATAGAAAAGTATAGACCACTTATTCTATGCAACACGGCTATAACACAGAAAAAATACCACAAACACCTTGACTGTTCCGAGCATATTACTTATACTTTAAGCAAAAGGCACTCAATCCTTTAAAATCGCTCTCTAAAACTCTACGATCTAAGCATCTTAACATACCTTACAATGTGTACATTTCTTCTTTGCTTGACTATTGCGATGCTCTCTATAGCACTGCGACTCGACATAGCCTATCAAAGCTATCCTCCCTCCAGTCTCAAGCTGGCCTTAATATTCTGGGGACCCTTGCTGGCTCAAATCGCTGTAAAGTACTGAAACAGCTGAACTGGGTTTCATTTGATGAACGTCGAAGAAATCACGTGAAAAAATCATGTTCAATATCCACAATCAACTAGCACCTTCCTATGTCTCTACTTATTTCATCCCGTTTAGAAATAAATCCATGCTACCTCTACGGACAACATCTAAAAGAGACTACATAATTCCCTCTAAATTCACATACAAATGTCCTGAACACTTTTTGGTGACAAGCTAGGATGAACTAAACACCACCCCCCAAAAAAATCTTCCTTCTGAATTCCTCTCTCAAATATAACCTTAGAAATGAAAACTTCCCAGCAACAATTTCCACCACCCATCTGAAGCTTCCGAGACAAAATGAAAAAATCCTAAACAAGGCCTGCGTTGATTTGTTATTTAGAGCCCAACTATATGACCACAACTGGACAGCTATGGCTTCTCCAAACTGTTTATGTGGAAACCAGAAATCATCCGACATTTTTTCTTTCAGTGCCCACTGAAACAGAGGAAATATCGTGATCTCTACGAATCTGTTGAAGATATACTTGGTGTAACCTATGCATATTTCAGAACCCAACTTGATAAATCATCCCTGTTCTTACATGGCCATAAAACACTTACATCTGGACAAAACTAAAAAAAATTGAAATAGTGTAGAATTTCTTAATCGCAAATGTCTAAATCTTGTTCCATATCTGTTCTGGCGCCTACCACTCTCTCCTGATGGCCTATTGCCCCCCCCCCCCCTACAAATACCTTTCGCCCATGCCTTGTCCCTCATTCCCCTCAAATTTCACTCATGTCCTCGGCACTGTCTTTTCCTTGAATATCAT